CACTAATACTACATTAATTAATTTAATACCTTCAACTTCACAATAATAATAAAAAATAATTAAATCAACCATGATTTTAAACTATGTATTATCAATATTCATTATTCCAAACATGAGAAAGCATTCAGCAAACATCATTGGAATCGAGCAAAAGGACTCCAAATCCCAACGGCCAAACCCGGAAGTGAAGTGCCGGCATTATTGACTGTAACGCAAATTACTTGGTTCAAACAAACTTTCTAGTGCCACCGCACAAACGTGACGACTGTGCAAAAATAACTACATAAAAGACACCACTGTTACAGAAAGACTTTACACGCTATTTAAACTGCCGATCGCGAACGGAACAAACCGTGATTGAAACTAATTGTGATGCTGCCCTTTATTCGTTGCGCTAACTGTGACCTGCCAGTGGCAGACCCGCTCCTTTTAAAGCGCCAGCTTAATCCATCAATATTGGTTTCCCTGGATGGAATTTATTTGATTCCTTCGCGTTTTTGCGGTCCTCGGACTCACTTTACATCTGTGGACAAGGGGTTCGAGGCTCTAATCTCTCATTGTGTCCGGTAACCCAAGGCCAAGGACTTGACTCCCAAGGCCAAGGACCAAGAACCGACCTTCGGTCCTCGAGGCCAAGGACCGGCTCGAGGAACACATCACTGGTAAGTGACTTTTTATTGGCGTGCGTTTTACTACAATTGCTAAAGATTTTAACTTTATTCACTTACGTCGTGTAGATCATGGCATCAAAACGTAGAAGAACTGTAATCACTGGAGCGGAGCGAGTGAAATGCATCCGTTTGAGCAAGGCTGGACACAAAGTTAAAAGCATCCAGCAGACACTTGGAGTCGGAAAGACGCAAATCTACGAAACTTTAAAAAACAAGGCATCGATTCAACTCCTGATGACAAGCCACCATTCAGCGAGGAAGCAATGCAAATGGTAACAAATTCATCAGTATGCACAAGAATTACCAGACATCGGTGATCAACGGGACAGTTACTTGCAACTAGCAAGAAAACTGTATGACACGCAGGCAAACATTGTCATAAACCAAAGAATGCATCCAAC